TTCATTTTGAGTATACTTAGACTGAGAAATTCTAATTCTGTTTATTCATCCTAAGAAAATAAGCAGGGATATGGGGAAAGGATATATACAAGATGTTCTCAGCATTGTTGCTTAAATTAATACAAAAGCTGAAAAGTTTATAGGTTTACTGATACTAAGCTCATTAACTAAATTATAGGATAATTATGGTATGATACAGCAGTAGAATGTGTACTGTTTGTACATGTTTTATGATGTTCATGACTCATTAAGTAAAAGAACAAATTATAAAACACTATACTACATGGTCATATTTTTGCAAGTCTATATAGAAAAAAATCCAAAAATGTGTATATAAAATGTAAACAGGGTTTATCTCTGGATAGTAGGAGTATACTTAATTTTATTTTCCTTGTGTGAGTGTCTGGTTCATATTTTCAAAATTTCATACATCACAATGTTTGTAGTAATTTTGAGATTACTTTTAAAAAAGAAAAAGATACTTTAAAAATATGGCTACCTAGATAACCAACTTCTTGAGGATGACTTCCAATACTATTGACTATTGTTGTTTGACAAACTAAAAGAAATTAATACTTCCCCAAATGAAATCACAGTAATTTAAACACAGGCTGCAGAGCAAAATAGGATATTTATTACAAATATCTTACTTATAATATTTTTAATAGATTGCCAAAATGATTTCCTCCTAAATTCACAACTTGTTACAGATAATAGCATTTCATGATTTTTATTTACCAAGTTTACTAATCACCTCTCCAACAAAATGCTTGATAAGAAAAGAATAATTCTCACTATATTCTATTTCTTTTTTCTTTTTGACGGTACTGGGGTTTGAACTCAGGGCCTCATGCCTGCTAAGCAGGTGCACTTGAGCCACTCCACCAGCCCTTCACTATATTCTTAATAAAGAATCATAAACCTACTTTTAATCCAAAATATAGTTTAAAATTGGGTTCTCAGGCATCTTAATTTGAATTTTGCAGGTAAGTGGCAAGATTATTTAAGGGTTATGAGATACCATAACTACTAAATGTAAACATTTAACTTTGTGAAAAAAATTATGAGGATATCAGATATTCAAAGCTGACTTTTCCTTCAGATTAAGAAATAGATTTATTTAGACAGCTGAAACATTTGTAAGATGTTTAGTTTCCTTGACTTATTCCACAAAGATTATCAGAAAGGAATAACTTCATTCAATGATTTGACAACTCTGCTTTGATTATGAGAATGATTTTGTACATGATACTCTTAAAAAATAACCATCATGATTTATATGAATGCAAACAATGTTATTTTACTTAAAGGTTATCCAAAGAACAGTTCATAATGTAGGTTTAAAGAGTATGATGGCTAGTATAGAAATACTTTAAAATTACTTAAACTTTCTATCATGTAAATGCCTAAACAGCTTTGATTAAACAAACTAAGGACTTCAAGGAAGTCTATGATAGCAAAAGAAACAAATAGCATATGATTTAAATATTTTGTGTAAAATATCTTAATAGATTGTTTAAAATATCTAACACACAGATATTCTTTACAGTGGAAGAATTAAGGCGTGAGATATCTGTAAGACCAAATAAGTGTTTTGATTTAAAAGGCTCTTCTAATTTCTTTACTTCCTTACTTTTTTCCTTGTTGCCAAAATCCTAACTCCTTTTGATTAATAAGATGCTAATCCTGGTGGCCTTCTACAGTTCAATAAAAATCAATGCTGTATGTCCTATGAATCCCACATAAGTCCTAAGCACCTGTCACTGACTTCTCTTCTGCATTGCCCTTACTTTTTTGCTAACTACCAGTTACCAAAAGTTTCCTGTAGTCTGCTGAGGTAACTCATAAGGCACTACTGAGCTCTTCATCTTACTTTAAGTCACAAAATAGTGCTTTAGTTGGTATTTTTTCTTGTAATTTATTTTCACCCAAATAAGCTTCTCTAAAGTTATTTTCAGCAAGAATTGCTACCTCATGTTTTACTGAGTTTAAATGATTATTTTTTGCAGTGCTAGAGATGGAACTCAGGGCCTTGTGCACACTAGGCAAGTGCTGTACCACTGAGCTACACTCCCAGCCTTGTTTTATTGACACAAGGTTTCACTACATAGCTCAGACTGGCCTTGAACTTGCTATGTAGTCCACACTGGCCTCAAACCCAAGATCACCCTGCTTCAGCCTTCTAATTGCTAGAATTACAGGCCTTTGCCACCAATGCCTGCCTGACTGATGATTTTCTTAAATTATTAAAGAATTTATGATCAATTTCCAGTATCTTCCTCCCTTCCTTCCACATTTCTTTTTTGTTTTCTTTTTGAGTCAGTGTCTCTGTATTTTGCCCAGGCTGGCTTCAAACTCCTGGGCTCAAGCAATCCTCCTGTCTCAGCCTCTTGAGAAGCTGGGACTATAGGTATGTACTACCCATGGCCAGCTACACTTCTAGTATTTTCTAGTAATATTGTACATAATTTTAAGAAGCACAAATGAACTTGTAACAATATTTCAACAAATCTATGACATATTTAAAATGAGAAAACCCATGTTTCACCAAGGAATATATCAAATTTTATGGCAAAGCTAAAAATGACAGAGCTAAACTTAGCTATCATGAAAAGTGAACAGCCCTGACTCTTCAATTGGAGGGATTCATTGTGTCAGCCTTTCTTGGAGCAATTTGGAAATGCATTATAGGGCCAAGGAGAATGATGATAATCCCCAAATTCCTTTGTGATATACTATTTGTTAGTGACTATAAAACGTGTGATGAAAAAGAAAACTTTTTATGTTTGATGAAAATGCAAAGGTATGACATCAAGAATGCTTTTTTCCCCCATTTGTTTTTAGTAAATACTCACAAATAAGCTTGTCCTCGCTAATAAATTGGACTTAAAATTTACTATCTCACAGATTTTGTGGGTCAGGAATCAAACTGGGAGTATCTTAGATAGGTCTTCTGCTTCAAGGTCTCTCATGTGGCTAAAATGGCTGCTTCCAAATTCACTCTTGTGGTTGTTGGCAAAATTCAGTTCTTATGGGCTGTTATGTTGACTGGAACCCTACCTCAATCCTTGCTATGTGGGCAGTTTCCAACATGGCAGCTGGCCTCCACCAGAATGAAAGCATGAGGAGAGTATATTTTTACAACTTAATATCAGAAGTGACATTCCATCACTAGTCACTAGTGCCCCCCACCCCACCCAAAGTGTGGATTACCAGGAGGTAGGAATAATGGGAACTATGTGGAGGCTGTTTACTATATGCAAAATACTTTTACCCCCTCACAAGACCCCTGAAAGTCCCACTGAAATCCAGAATAACTGAAATCAGGTTAGGTGTAGTTGTTTAAGCACAGCATCCACAGCATAGTTCCTTTCTATCTATAAACCTGTGAAGCTAGAGAGGGGAGTTATTTGCCCTTTACTTCTAACATAAGATGATCTGTAGGTACAAGATAACCACCATAAACATTGCTGTTCACCAAGTGGGGGAAATGGGAGACACTAAGTTCTAAGTGACTAAGTGTCACTAAGTCTACACTCAGGGGAGTGCAGACTCAGGTCCTATGCAAGGGCCTGAAAACTAGAAGATGAGGATCTCTGGGCACCACCTTTGAGGCTGACTACCACACTGTGCTTTCATTTAATTCTAATAATAAAAAGAGTATGATTTTGGAGAACTACTTTATGAAGCTTAAGGTTTAGTTGATTTTTCAATAAATAGCACATTGCTGTGAGCTTGTGTTACAATTTTTTCTTTGGTTCACAGTAAAATTTATTTCTGATTATATGAGTATTGGAGGTAGTTAATTAAAAATTCGATTCCCTTTTATCATGTCTATAAATCTGATCACTGATCAGATCATTCAACTTTTACACTGTTGAATTTTCTAAAAATTTTCAAAATGTTTTCCTAAAGCTTAATATAGCATCCATTATAGCTCCATATTTACTCCTCTAGCTATATCAAATATTTCTTCTTTCATTTACCAATACACTTTGTATTTGCATAAAATTCAAATTACATTCCATGGTGAATCATCAAGGTGTCTACTGTGAATATGGGAGCTGTTGTAGTTTCTTTTTTGCACTATCGACTAAATTAGGAAAATAAGTTTTACTTCCTTTTTCTTGCACTGCTTCCTGAAATCCTGGTAGAATACTCCTTATTTTCCTTTCTTTTCTATCAGTATAGAACAGTGGCTTTCAACCAAGGACAATTTTGCCCACTACGGAACATTAGACATTTTTGGTTTATAAATCGAGTGTGCTCAATTTATAACACAAACATTTTTGGTTTATAAATTGAGTGTGCTGCTGGCTTTAATGAGTAGAGGTCAGAAGTGGTGCTAAACATCCTATAATACACTGCATAACTCCTCCATGATAAAGAATTATTCAGTTCTAGTTTAGAATGTCAAAGTGCCAAGTCTGAGAAACTCTAGTCTATAAACAATTCCTCTTCCCTTCCACTTTAAATATGAAGACATTAAAAAGTTGTTTCAGCCTTAGTTATTATATAAACTAATCTTTTTCCTAATCACACATTTCCTAAAAGTAACAAAAATGTGTAGCTGTGATTCAAACTAGCAATTTCAGACAAAACAGGTTCTACATCAATTACTAAACCACTGAATAATACAGTCTGAAATAAAGGGCACCAAAAAAAGTGAAATTTCACTAAATGTGTAGTTTGAATACCTCTTTTGATTGAGTAACATATACTGGATGCTTTATGATACTTTGGAATCTAACTTTATACTTTAAACATATATAATCAATTAGAGAATATTTATAATAAGTATTTCCAGTCTAGAGCATAGATTAGGAATAATTTTTATTTCTCCATGTTCTTAGAATGATGTGAAAATAGTAACAATAAAAGTTTAGAACATGTAGTAGTCACTGTGAAATTCCTAAGATAACTACAATACTTTTAATAAAAATGGTTAAAATTTTTATTATTCTATGACTTTTCTATTCAAGAATCATACATTTCCTTATGTAAGCACATCTATAATTTTATAAAATGTCTATATACATATGTACAAAAGGCACTTGGAAAAGAACAATATATTAACTATTTTTCTTAATGGACAATGGACTAGTTTGTTTATAATAAAAGCATGTCATTCTTTTGCATCAGTTTTTATCTTCAATGATATATGAAAGGTCTAAAATTAAATTGGCTGTCTCTATAGCCACCTGTAGGCCGCTAAGCTTGGCAGTCAAACAGTCCACGGTCAGGTTGCTGGTTGAGTCCTTAGCTGCATGTGGAAAGCAGGTTTGTGGTGCAAAAGAATTACCCGAGCTTCTTAAGAAAGACCAGCTGAGTTCTTCCTGGTTATTGTGTAAACCACAGCCACACTGTGAAAGCAAATCTGACCAGTTAACGACAGAGGGAGAATCTGCCTGAACTGACCAACAGTGTCCATACTTCATGTCAGTGAGAATTTCACCTCCATCATGTTCCAAAGATCCAGCAAGAGACTCTAGGGCACTGCAAAATGCTTCAGTCATTAGTTGAAGTTCTGCTTGAGTACATCCATCATCTTTGAGAATGCTTTCTGCCTCGTTATGAGTCTACAGAGTAATAAAACCATTGAGAATACATACAGAGCAATTAATATATTTCAGAAAAATAGAATACTTGATCAAAACCTTATTCACAAAGTTACCATTCACCTTTATTTAATTTGGAGACTATGCTAATGGGTTTGTAAGACTAGCTAGCTAGACTGCAATCCCTTCACATGGTTGGTTACAGTAAAAGTGCATGTTCCCAGTCATGTAAGCAGAATGAATGAATCAGAATTACACTATCAACTTATTCTGAATGACTGCCTGGTAGGACCTCCGTACTCCATTGAATGACACAGTACACCAGGAGAAGTTTCTGAAGGTTAATGTCTGAAATGCAGTACTGTTATATCAGCAAAATGTTTGAGATTTGTTTAAAACGAGATCACACATATTATTATTAAGACATTATTTAGGAAGCCCATGCAGCTACAGCCATCTGATTCTCAATAAAGAATATATATAGGATAAATCTATAGCTAACATTGTCTTAAATGGAGAAAAACAAACCATTTCCTCTAAAGTCAGGAATGATACAAAGGGTGTTCATTCTCTCCACTCTTAGTGGAGAATTTTTAGTCCTAGAATTCTTAGCCAGAGCAGGAAGAAAAAGGAAACAAAAGGACACAAATAGAAAAGGAAGAAGTCCTATTATTCTCATATGCAAATGATATGATCTTATACTTAAAAGACCCTAAAGACTCCACCAGAAAAACTCTGATCTGAAGAAGACACTGAAATATGGAAAGACCTCCCATATTCATGGATTGGCAGCAGTAATTGTGCCAATTATTGTGAAAATGACTATACTACTGAAAACAATCTATAGATTGCAATTCTTGTCAAATTTCAATAGCATTTTTCATGGAAACAGAAAAATCAATCCTAAAATTCATTTGGAAGCACAAAAGACTCCAAATAGCCAAAGCAATCCTAAGCAAAAAGAGTAATGTGGGACATATCAAAATACTTGATTTCAAATTATACCGCAGAGCTACAGTAACAGAAACAGTATGGTACAGGTACAAAACAGAAATGTAGGCCAAAGGAATAGAGTAAGACACAGAAATAAGCCCACACAACCTGCCAACTATTTTTTGACAAAGTCATCAAAAATCTATGTTGGAGAAAAGACAGTCTCTTCACTAGTGATGCTGGGAAACCTGGATATCCACATGTAGATCTTTTACCCTGTATAAAAGTTAAGTCAAAATCGATCAAAGATCTTAACTTAATACCTGAAACTTTGAAACTGCTAGAGCAAAACATAGGGAAAACCCTTGGAGAAAACAGGCATATAGGAAAAGCTTTTCTGAATAGAACCCTAATTGCTCAGAAAACAAGAATAAGAATTGAAAAATGAGATTACATCAAATTAAAAAGCTTCTGCATAACAAAGGAAATAATTACCAGAATCAAAAGAAAACCTACAGAATAGGAGAAAATCTTTGCCAGTATTCATCAAATAAAGGATTAATATATCCAGAATATATAACTAACTCCAAAAAATTAAACACTGAAAAAAAAAGATCTAACTAATTAAATGGGCAAATGAACAGTTTTTAGAAGAAGTACAAATAGCTGAGTGCTGGTGGCTGACACCTGTAATCCTTGCTACTCAAGAGGCAGAGATCAGAAGAATTGCCATTTGAAGCCAGCCTGGGCAAACAGTTCTTGCAACCCTATTCTCAGCACAAAAAAGGGCTGGTGGAGTGGCTCAACTGGTAGAGAGTACCTGCCTAGAAAGTGTGAGGCCCTGAGTTCAAAGTCCATACCACAAAAAAAGTACAAGTAGCTAATAAATACATGAAGAAATGTCCATCATCCTTAACCATAAAAGAAATGCAAATCATAACGGCATCCAGTAGTCAGCATGGCTGTCATCAAGAAAACATAAAACAACAAATGCTGACCATGTCATGGGGAAAAGGGGACCTTATACACTGTTGGTGGCAATGGAAATTAGTGCAGTCATGATGAAAGTCAGTAAGGAGGTTCCTAAAGAAACTAAAAATAGAACCACCATATGACCCTACTATAACTACTCTTGGGCATATATCTGAAGGAATGTAAGTCAGCACATAATAGAGATATCATATCTGCACACCATATTTACTGCAGCACTATTCACGATAGCCAATCTATGGAATTAGCTTACATCAACTGATGAATGGATAAAGAAAATATGTAAAATAGAGTATTATTCAGCCATAAAGAAAAATGAAATTGTCATTTGCAAGAAAATGGATGAAACTAGAGATCACTGTATTTAGTGAAGTAAGCCAGAAAATATGTTTTGCATATTCTACATATGTTCTCCCTCACATATAGAATCTAGTCCTTAAAAATGAATGTGAGGACAATAGCCAAGTTATGGAAACAACCAAAATGCCCCACTACTGATGAATGGATCAAGAAAATGTGGTACTTGTAAACAATGGAATTTTACTCAGCCATGAAGAATGAAATCTTATCATTTGCAGGTAAATGGATGGAACTGGAGAACATCATCCTGAGTGAGATTAGCCAGGCTCAGAAGACCAAAAATTGTATGTTCTCCCTCATATGCAGATTTTAGATCTAGGGCAAATGCAGCAATGTGGCTGGACTTGGATCACATGACAAGAGGAGAGCACATACAGGAGATATAGGAATAGGCAGAAAACCCAAAACATGAAATGAAAGCGTTTGATGTCCCCACTCCAGAGGAACTAATATAGAAACCTTAAAGTGACAGAAGTTAACATGAAAAGGGGATCAGGAACCAGTGTAAAGATCAGTTACAGATGACTAAAAATCAGTTGTAACACATATATACATGAAAGCAATGCTAGGAATATTTCTGTATAGCTATCCTTAACTAACAAAAATGCTTTGTCTTCCTTATTATGCTTATGTCTTTTCTTCAACAAAATTAGAGAAAAGGGTAGAACAGGTTCTGCCTGGAAGTGAGGGGGGGAGGGGACAAGAGGGTGGGGGAGCAGGGCAGAGGGGGAGAAATGACCCAAACAATGTATGCACATGTGAATAAATGAACAATTAAAAATATATATATAAAAGCTAAAAAAAATGAATGCGAGGAATGTAAAACAGGTTTTGTTTGGGGGTGGGTAACAATGGGAGGGTGAAGGAGAGGGTAAAGCAGAGGAGGAGGGGTAAATATGGTCTAAGTACTTTATATACATGAATAAAAGAATAATGAAATCTAACAGATTATATTAAAGTAGAGGGAGGGGAAACAAGAAAGAAAATAGAGGGGGTGAATTTTGATCAAAGTACATCATATGCCTGTATGGAAAATCACAGTGAAATTCCTTTGTACATTTAATATATAGTAATAAAAATGTAAAAAAACCTCTGAAAATGCTAACACCGTATTATCCAGCTATATCACTCCTGGACACATAACCAAAGGAATCAATAGTCAGCCTACAATAGAGATAGCTGCACACCCATGTTTACTGCAGCAGTATTCACAATAGCCAAGTTATAAAATCAGACTAGATGAGTGGATAAAGAAATATAAATATTATGGAATATTATTCAGCTGTAAAGAAGAATAAAATTATGCCATTTTTAGGAAGATAGATGAAAAACTGGAGATCAGCATCTTAAGTGAACTAAGCCAGGCTCAGAAAGATAAGTATCATGTTTTTTCATATACAGAATCTGGATTAAAAAAAAAGATATGAAAGCACAAAGGGAACTATTTGGGGAGTGATAATCGGGATTTGACTTATTGTTTCATAAAACAAAAATATCTGAAAATTCAGCTAATCTGAAGAGGACTATCTTACTTACTTTATGTCTGATATACGCGGCCAAATGAGTTTCAGTACAGCCACCTCCCAACAAAACCCATGGTTCCTTAATTGTAAACTGCAAGACTTGTAATGCTGTTTGACATGTGAGCTAAAGAAGAAACAAATTAGGATCAAGAATTCACATCAGCTACGTGGAAAAGCATAAACATGGTCTCAAAGTAACATCTGTACAGGTTCTCACAGAGCCTGACGTTAACTGATAAAGAACAAAACCTGTTGTCAAGTGGTGAGGCAATAAATGCACTTTGAAATAATAAAGATCAGCAAATAAAGAAAAATACTTTAGCCAGAAGTCTCTTTTCATGGAGCTAGATTAGTATTTTCTTTTACATACACTTTGTTCTTCAAATTATGATTCATAAATTATGGCCTCAAAATATCTGGGTCAAGGTACTTTGCTGGTACTTTCACTAAAAAAAATAGTCTAAATAAATGAGCTGTGTACATGTTATAAAATTTATTCTTAAACTGCTTTGGAAATAATACAGCTACAACCCTGCAATAATAAGCAGAGAACTATAAAGACCTCTGACTCACCAAGAATGTATTTTTTCGCATACGTGAATCTTTAAACTTGTGATCACTACCAAAGATTATCATTTCCCTTATGTAAAATTTGCATGTGTTATTGTTGGCAGGGAACAACAAATTACTACAGGTGGATGATGGGTATTTACTGGGGAACTTACTTTCTAGGTGAATTATTCATACTCATTAGCATCACACACAATTCAAGTTAATTTTTAAAGAAAAGTTCACTTTTCTTTAAAAAAGTTCATTTTTAAAGAAAAGTTTCATTTTTTTGTAAATAGCAGAAATAAGTGGCAACATGTCAAGTCTACTTATACCATTACAATTAAATTAGCTTACTTGTATCTGTGCTTGCTTCTCTCTCTCCCTCTGTCCCTCTTTCTCTTTCCTCTGTCTGGTGCTGACATTGAACCCAGGGCCTTGTACAAGGACTGAGCACTCACTTTACCACTGAGCTACACTCCCATTTGTTTTTGCTTTTTTATACCACAATGAAAATTTTGGAAAAAATATGAAAGAAAATCCACTATAGTATCCATTGAGTCAATAATTCATCCCTGTCTCAGCCCCTGGATATGGAATTCAAAGTTCATCACTTACCTTCAGCTCATCCCATGCAGTGTCATTTCTGTTGCAGAGAAGCAAGCTGCAGATAGTCGCTTCATTAGGATTAAGATGAAAAAAATGTTTGGAGCCAAATTTTGCAAAGCACAAATCTTTCAAGTTTCCATAACTACTAGAAGATATTGAGTCTAAGGAACCAATAGGCTGTGCTCCTATTTTTGTAAAGAATAGAAAACACAAAATGTACAAGCAAAAGTAGAACAAACAAGCATTTACACTGATAAATTAGTATTAATTCTGAAAGCCCCAGAAAAGCTTACTTAAAATATGAAATATAGGATAAAGAATAAAATGCATTTTTTTAAACCTGATAGTAGTATTCTGCTATTAAAGTGACATAGCAGAGCTTCTTTTTCTTTTTTTTGGCTACACTGATGGGGATCGAACCCAGGCCCTTGTATACGCAAGGCAGGTGTTCTAGCATCAAGTTATCTCTTTGATAGATTTCTTTGACAATCTGTTAAAAGCTGCATTGTACTCTTCTCAGAAAACGGCACAGAAAAATACATTTTTAGGAAGTGCAGTAACATTGCTAATCTGGAATAAGGGAGATATATAAGGGGAAAGGCTATTTTCTTTCCTTCTTAAAACTTTTTTGAGACCAGGTCTTGTTATGTAACCCAGGCTGGCCTGAAATTCCCAATCCTCCTGGGAAGGGTTACTTTTTTAAAGGCATTCAATTTAAAAGAGATAAAACAACCCAAGTAGTCCTTATAGTTGAATTCCTTTGGGGCTCTATTTTTTGCCTCGCAACTGTTTTTATGTAAATAGTTACTCAAACTATGTCAGAATAAAGTGTGTGACATACTTGTTTCACTTCATTATTGTTAGTCTGCTAAGTATTTTGACCTCCCACCTATACAGATGAAACACTATAATTTTACAAATCACAAATTAATAAAAACATGAGTAAATGAGAAGCAAGGATGACTTGTGTTTGTAAAATATCTAACTGTAATAAAAATTATGGAAGAAAAGAAACACCAAATTTCTGTAGTAAATAATAATGTTAGTTTAAATCTGAATATTAACACTGAAACCCACACAATTTACCCCTTTGGGGACCAGCTTCCTTTTCTTTTTAAATTAATGAGGTTAAAATATCTAATGCTATGTTCTGAGCTAAAATAATAATTGTGGGCTAGTGGAGTGTAGAAATCCAGTTTTCACTTACAATCTTGATTGGTTCTGGGAACACATTCCGTATTTAAGAACTGACTAAATAATTTGGAATACCCAGAAATCATAAGCTGAAAACTGCCAGATTCATGAAAAGCTAAGTTTGGCCTTTAAGACCAACAATGATCTCTAAAGAATTATTTCCAGAGTCACCTGACAACTGCACAAAGGTAGAGTAATAATTGAGGTATATTATGTACCTTACATTTGTCATAATTAGCTGCTCATTTTTGATGACTGATAGTCTTCACTGTTCCTAACAGTGAACTTTAACAGTGGTTTAGTAACTTAAGAATTCCAAGCTGGGTATGATGATGTACACCTGTAGTCCCAGAGTCTCAGGAGGCTAAAGTGGGAGGGTTGCTTGAGCCCAGGATTTTGAGATCAGCCTGGGTAACATAGTGAGACCCAATCTAAGGGAAAAAAAATTGCCATCAGTATAGAACTAAATTACCATCCTTCTGATAGGCTGTGAGGTTAAAGGGGTATTGAAGAGTGACCTGCTAGGGGAATGCAGTGGCCTAGATCAGGGATTCTTTAGCTTACTTTTCTTTGGCTCCAGCGGGTGAATGTGAACCTTTTTTGTGCTTTTAATTTGCTGAGTTTATGAAATACAGTAAATCTCTTGCCTTATATAATTCTTTATGCTACTCAATATATTACCATCAATTTAGCAAACATTTTAGAAATTCTACTGTGGGCTAGGCCCGTTACAGATGCTGAAAGTAAAAGATGACTTTGGTTCTCAAGAGCTCAGTGGAAATTTTTTTTTTTTCAATACTTGGGATTGAATTCAGGGCCTTTTTCTTGGTAGATAAGCACTCTACCATTTGAGCCAAGCCCCCAGCCCTTTTGCTTTCAGTTTGTTTTTCAGATGGGGTCTGCTTCAAGCTTTTGTGGCCTTGGACTATGATCTTCCTACCTCTGCTTCCTGAGTAGCTGGGATTTTAGGCAAGCACCACCATACCCAACCCCTCAGCTGGAAACATTTTTGATATTTAAAGGTAAAGAGTAAGTACACATACCAACCCCCTCCCCACTCAACCAGGAACCATTTGGACAGTACAGTTCATTGGCATTATGATGAAAATAAAAAGGGGGTATTCCAGCTACAAAATTACCTTCTGGATGTAACATGGTTTTATAGCTTTGTAAATTCCAGTACAATAATTTGGGTAAAGTATGAAAGATCTTATGTTTATGAGAATATTTGACTTCCTAATTACCTATAAAATATTTGGGGGTTATATTATAAACAGATTCTGTGTATATTTATGGGCTGTGAAATACAAAGAAAATGGCTACAATCACCCCATTTTTAGTAAGTATAGGACATTTTCCAGAAAGTTTTGCTGCCAGAAATGACATTTACATGCCGTGAAGTTGGCAGGTTCTAAAATTTTTCAAGATGTTATCAGTGATACAAACCAAAAATATCCTGCTCAAAAAAAGTATGATTTATTAATTGTAAGGGGCAAAAGCCAACGGTGTTTTTACCTGTCACTCTGCTCAGGGGTTCCATCAGAGCCACTCCAACTCTGTCAATGGCAATAATGTGATGTTTACTGAGGAACTGTTTCAAAGATGGGTGTGTAACTTTTTGGCACAGGACAAGATCTACATGGTCACTAACTAGCTGCCTTCCTAGATTAAGCAATTGGTCCAGGACTGCATTCTCAAGAGACACTCCATAACTAACCACCATAGAGCCTTCTCCAGGGTCAGGAAAGTCTCCAGATAAAGATGTACAAAACAATGCCACCTTGAGGGCACTTGATTTTTGGATAGGTAATAATCTCCTCAATTGAACTTCTGACATTTCAATGAGTAGTCCAGGTAACACAGTAGAATCTGTAACTCTTTGACCCTTTAAAGGTACAATTATACTCTGTCCTAAAATGACATTTTCTTCTGTGCTTTCTGGAACTGTAAGCAAAAAGGCTCTCAGAATCAAAGCACTGATATGATCCGTTTCCTTTCCGGTGAGCATACAGGCTGGTTTACTTGTTAATATGCTGCGTACCAAACAAAGGAGAATCTGAGTGCTACTAAAGTCCACTGGGATTCGACAACCACAGGCCTCAGACTTGAGATAACTGGTGCACAGATTCAAGAGATGTTTATTTAATTTAATGGCAGTGGTGGGAGTCAAACCTATTCTCTCAACATTTTCAATCAGGTTGCAGCAAAGAATAGCTGTGAATAAGCCACAGTCACGGAAGCAGGACACATGATTCTGCACAGACGTTGTCAGAATCTTTAGTATGGGGTGGGTGACCGGAAGATTCCCAAGCAGAGCAGAGGACTGTGAGGTCGTGCACACATGACCTCCCAGGCCATTGTGCAGTTGCTTCGGCCGGCCGGAAGGGCCATAGCATGATACTATAACTCCTTTCAAGACAGAAAGTGTGGCCCTGGCTCTCTCATTTGTCAGTGCTTCACTTTTACACAATGATGGCTTCCTAGGTTCTAAACAAAACATCTTATTTCAAGTGTAACTTGGGAAGGGTTTTTATTTTGTTAAACATTTTTCTATGTATTGCACTGTCATGTGTTTTAACATTAAAATATATTCTTTAGGAATGAAAGTCTGAATATGCAGCATTGTGGATATAAAATTAAATATTTCTAGTTTCTAAAGCTAATCAGCATATAATGACTTAATCATATAGTAGTAATTTCAAAAATTTATTTCACTTCATTATTCAACATTCTTTTGTTTGTCTCCAGACTGAGATTTCACAGACTGTTTTGCAGCCCTCTGTATAAAGTAAGTTCCAAGATGGACACCTATGAAAGATACCCCAGCTATAAGAAGCCAGTTCTTTCTAATCCAACTGTTGTTTCTCATTTCTTCTTTTAATATCAAATTCAGATTCAAAGCTGCTTCTTTCTGTAAGAAATAAAAATAAAATATTTTAAGAGAATATTCCAAGACTTTTTGGAGACTGAAGTTTACTTTAATGTTGTGCTCCAGTTTTTATAGGAAGAAACTGCCAACTATCACAAGCCTCCAGAAAATGAGAAAGGTAAACCAACTTAAACTCAGTATTCTTTTATTTTTCAATAAATCTCGACTGCAATAAAGTGTTTACATTTCAATGATTTTGGGATGCACAATGCAGTTAAAAATCTTTTAGAACAGTTATTTGCCATTTGTCCAGAAGAGAACATTACATTATAAAAATAAGAATTCAGGGGTGAGGCTAGGCATGGTCATGCATGCCTGTAATCTCAGCTACCTGGGAGGCATAGATCAGGAGGATCATGGTTAGAGGACAGACTGGCAAAAGTTTGCAAGACCCCATTTGAACCAACAAGCCAGGCATGGTGGTACATGCCTGAAATCCTAGCTTCTGGGAAGCATAGGAGGCTGATGGTTTGAGGCGGACTCTAGGCAAAAATGCAAGACTTTATCTGAAAAATAACAAGTAAAAAAGGCCTAGAGGCATGGCTCAAGTGGTAGAGTACTTGCCTAGCAAGCACGAGTCCCTGAGTTCAAACTCCAGTACTGCCAACACAAAAATTTAGGGCAGGGGATGTAGCTCAGCAATGCAACAGTTGTCTAGTATGTACAAGCTCCTGGTTTTGATCCCTAATGCTGCCTCTTCTCCCCAAAATCATTAAAACTAAGAATTTGCCTGGAGTCTAGTAAGACTTCAGGTCTTACTGGAGTAAGAAAAAAGCATTTATGTCAAATCCTGTTTGTAAGTAATTATGAAACAAGACTGCTATTAGCATTCCTACTGCAGAAACTCACTAATGCAGTCTATATTTAGTTGAATAAACCTGCAAGACACATTGTTGTATCAATGAACAAACCATGTTTTAAATACCTGGCTCAAGTCAGAGCTAATTTTCTATTGTTTTTGTCTACTAATCAATAATTTTTCTGTTTTCAAAGTCCTAACCAACTAATCCTCTGCAAAAAGTTGGTTAATGAAATACAAAACCCAAAGAATGTGCTGGATGACAAAGAACAATGTAGGATCTGATTTGTAATTTGATCTCAAATACCTAAATACTATAAAATGTTGTCATATACCAAATGGACAAGCAGAAACAGTAATAATAGCTGCTGTATTTACTGCCTTAAATGGTAGTTATAAATTAGGAATTGAGACATTAAATCCTGACACTAACAATAACATGTGACAAGAATAAAAACCTCAGGTCATGGATCTTATCTATTGAAGCCTTATGTTTTCAAGGTGAAGGCTGGGCTGGTGGAGTGGCTCAAGAGGTAGAGTACCTGCCAGCAAGCAATAGGCCCTGAGTTCAAACCCCAGGACCATGGGAAAAAAAAAAAAAGAAGCCAACCATTAGTTAATAGTTATTTTTAGGAATATGCTAAGCATGTCAGTCACTTGGAGAGAATTTAGCATTAATAAAACCAATCTAACTACTTAACCTAGAATACTTCTTCAGAGTATGGCATAGCACTGTGGTAGAGACCAAAATGGTGTTTTGAAAATGTATAAAGAGGTGAGAAGACAGAATGTTATGCAAAGTGTTATTTTGGCTAATGCTCTCACTTTAAAGGGCTGTAACCAAGGCAACTGATTCAAATAAAGAGAAGGCAATGATGACCAGCTTTTTCCCTTCACCAAAAAGGTAGAGGAATGTTTTCTGAAGGCATGAAGGGGTGGGGGGCACTATTTATCTTGTGCCATGAACAGCCAAGACTAACTATTATCTCAGTGCTTATTCCAGATTCAGTAAAATCTGAGACACACAGTTAAATGAAACTGTAGCAAAGTGATGTATTTATAGTAATTTGCACCTTAAGACTTTAATACATAAACATACAAACAAAAATAGAAACTATGATTAGTAAAATGATTTTAGAAATTTCTAGTTAGAAAATTTTTTAACAAATAAATAGTGACACACTACTTTTCAAAAGTAGAATGCCATGTTGGCAGTCTCTTGGTAGTGAGATGAGTAATATTTTCTAGCTAGTAGTCTATAAAATGAGAAAGGAAAAAAATCAAGTGTTGGTTAAACTTGCTGACTTAAATTAAAGAAAAAGAAATGAAACCAAACATTGGGCTGATTTATAGACGATGTTTAGGGGCATCAGTTCAGCTCTATTAAAACTCGCTTTTCTAAACAACGTGATCCATAGTTCCAAAAGTTACCAGCACAGATACAGCCCTGAATGCACAGGGTCAGGAAGATTTTTTTTTTTTTTTTTTTGCTTACAATGATGAATAACTTAATTAAAATGACTATCTTCAAAATCAAAAGAAGTACTACAACATACTACTTCAAGAAATAAAAACAGGCAAAACTTTCTCCTAAAGGAATCAGGGTTCTTTGGGGAAATAGCCAAGTCCAGGTCTGAAAGAAATACTCAAGCTGAGCGAGGAAAGTTTTCTACAAAAAACTTTGTTATCAAAGACTACTCAGGTCGTGTCCAAATAAGCATATGAAAAAACAATAATAAAGGAATCAATTTGGAGAGGACTTACAAGGGAACAACCTAGGCACTACAGAAAAAACAAAGAACTATGCGGGTTATAATAAACACAACAGGTAATTGTGATTTAGGCTTTTTCTTGCTGGAGCTCTAGAAAACCAACTTTCCCAATATCAGTATATCTCATATAGCTAACCTGATTAAAGGAACTTACCTGAACTGCAAGCCTATTATTTCCCTTGGACTTGGCTCTTTGGTCGACTTGCAAGTGCCAGACTATCTGGCTCAGGAATGTTGTCCTTATTAGGTATTTGGAAAACAGGGCTGCTTTTGATTCTGTTCCACCCTAAATGTATGAACCCGATCAAAGGTACCATAACAACCAGAACTTTGTAGTCTCTCCAGAAGTTCTGAAAGTTCATAGTTTGGCTTCAGTGCACCTAAGAACAGATTACAGTTAAAGGAGAAAAAAACTCCCCGAAAATAAACTCCCTCAAACCATGTCTACAAGCTACAAGTACTATAAAGCACTCCAATAAAAGTGGACTTAAGCATTTTTGGTTACAATGTAGTGCAATGTTAACAAAAGGAAATATATTGTGGATACAAAGGGATAGGTTGGGGAAACTTAAAAAGCAATACTTAACTTTGAGTCAAAAACTGTAAAACAGTATTATCTGTTGGGAAAGTTATACAAATCTTTGGAAATACTTATGCATAGTGTTCTTTAGATTTGTTATTAGTTGCTCTAATGACACAAATGAAGAGCTTTAAAATTCTTTAAGGTAATTTAAAATTATTTTTGCCACGCTGAGGATTGAACCCAGGGTGGGTATCATGCATACTAAGAAAGCATTCTACTGTTAATTATAACCTTAGCCCTTTTTAATTTTAACAGAACAATCAAATGTTAATACTTAAACATGCAGTAAGAATGTAGGTTCCTTGTTTTTAAAGGATGTTAAATTAGCATGTCAACTGAAATTAGAACGGTCAAGCATGGAAATAACATGTGCTGGTTCTACATTTACATACATGATTCCCTGAATCACTACTAATCCTACCCAACAAAATTACAGTCAACTCAGTTTACACTGAAGATATTGCCTAGGGCTACAAAGATAGTTAGTACTGAAAACAGATTTTTTCCTGTCTGATTTGGAAAACATGCATGGGGCTCAGGAAAGCTGTTTGTTTCCTGATGACCTCTTGAGTTTGGGAACTTGATTCTAGACAACTTTTAAGTCTCCTTATGCCAGCACCACTGGTTCATGCCTGTAACCCTAGCTACTCAGGAGGCAGAGATCAAGAGATCAAGGTTTAAAGCCAGTCCCAGGCAAGCAGTTCATGAGACCCTATCTTGAAAATACCCAACACAAAACAAGGGTTGGCGGAATGGCTCAAGTGGCAGAGCACCTGCCTAGCAAGTGTGTAGGTCGTGAGTTCAAACCCCAGTACCACCAAGAAAAAAAAAGTAAATAAAGTCTCCTTATATTTTCATACTTAAGGGACACAGATTAGTGATTAGCTTATAGATTGTGATGATACAAACAGTCCCATTTTACTAGCACTTTTCTGTATTTTATGGCCTGTTCCTATTTTAAAGTGCTTGGTTATCTGACACACTTTTTGCAAACTTTAGAAACTATACCTTTTATTGACATGCTTATGTGTTCTATTTTTGGAGGAAGTCAATCATAAATGTGTCATGATTAAATTTTACTGTTAAGTCCACCATGCGAAAAGTCTTTAGAGCATTTGAAATTTGAACATACAGTAAAATAACTTGGAGGGGGGGAACTAGGTAACTTAGAGTAATGAGGGACAGAGGCTATACCATAGCCAGCGGCTTGTGTTGATGGACAGGTCGCATTCTGCTCCACAAAACACCCTCAACTAAATGTTTAGAAGATACTGCTATACTTTGGATGTGTCTCCAACAGGCCCACATGCTAATGGCTTGGTTGCCAGTCTGTGGCACTACTGGGAGGCAACAGAATCTTTAAAAGGTGAGATCTAGTAGTAGGAACTACCACTTTCTGGGGCATGCCCTTGAAGGAGATAATGGGACTCCTGTACTTTTCTGTCTCTTTGGTTCCTGCTATATGGGGTAAGCAGCTTCCTCTGCCACACACTCCCACCAAGATGTACTGCCTCTCATAGGCCCAAAAGCAAGAAGCCCAACAACCATGGACTGAAACCTTCAAAATTGTGAGCTAAAATAAACCTTTCCTTCTTATAAGTTGATTTATTTCAGGTATGATTTTTGTCAGTGATAGAAAGCTGACTAACCCAAATACTGTTATTTATATTCAGTCTTTCAATACTGAAAGTGACTTTTAACACTTCTGACTCTGTTATTCTCAACATGAGGTTACCAAGTCACATTACTTTTAATAGATGACATCTTTGCTATTCACCATTTACTTCCCCAGGATCACTAATATAATTCAACATTTGTCAGCCTTTTCCTGAATCATAAGCTTTTAGAAAAACAGTTTAAACGAAAGAAACTAGTTTGGACAAAAGGATGTAATAATAAAATTGGGATTACTCACTTAGTAAGTAAAGTTCAGGACAAATTAAAGTACAATATTTAACAACATACTTTAGGAAGTATTATATTGTTCTCTGCATGTAGGTCACAGTATATAACAAAATGTGCTGTGGACTCCTTGAGAAGAGTGAAAATGGGGTCCCAGAAAAGAATGGAGTTATCTTCTGGCACTTAATTATCTTTTGGGTCATTTGTAAGTTAAAGACAAAGGAGGTATTCTATTTTTATGTATACTGTGTTTAACTGTCTATTCTTCTATCAGGATAACTTAAGTAAGGATTTATGTCTCTTTTTTCTAGATTTAGATTTCGTTAAACCTGGGAACTGTTATTATCTATTTTGGTTGAAAACTCATTATTTGCCAAACATCACTGAGGCCCAGTATAGTACTTTCTGGTTAGTAACTGATGGGGACTGATTTAAGATTAACTGCTTTAATGTCTACTGGATACCTACATGACCCATTTCCTCAAATTCTCCATATATCATATGTTGCACTGGTTAATGAAAGTGAGAGAACAAGTAACTATTTTCTGACAAACTATTCTGTGTTCTTCCAAAGACTTGGAAAATGATTAAGCTCAAGATGATAGGGCTTTTTATTTTACAAAATACTTTCAGGGTCTTTGTATTTAATCACATAAAGACACTGAGAAGCTAGGAGGTACATGCCTGTAATCCCAACACTTCAGAGGCTAAGGCAGGAAGGATCATCAGATGGAGGCCAGCTGGAATACATATTGAATTTGAGGCCATCATGGAATACACAGCGAGGCCTTGTCTGGAAAAACCAAACTAACATATATAAACTGAATAAAACAACATTGGCATATAATATCAACTTACTGTTTCTTTCACTTGACAGCTTTCCAGCACAGAACATGTATTCTACTGTCCACAAAATCAACTTTCCAGGGCCATATACATTAGATTTCACTAAAGTAAGGCTCCTTGCTAGTTTTAAGACAATACAGTTTTGAAATTTTATATTTGATATGGTAATTAGTGAGAGAATGTATTACTCACTTTGTTCATATCCTCTTATGGAGCTTTTACAATCAAGCATATACAATAGAACATATTTTAGGGTTACATTTTGACTTAACACTTGTCTCAAGTGGTAGAACACCACCTAACAAGCACAAGGCCCTGAGTTCAAACTCTTGGACCATCAAAAAACAAAAACAACAAAAAACCCTTGACTTTACAAAGGTTCACAGAGCTGACCAGCAGGGAGAAAGAAAGATCCAATTTGGGAAACAAACTTAAGCTAAATACAATTTACCTAGAGGTGGTCCTTCTCTCAAAACACTTGGAAAGTCATTCAAAATGATGTATCTTTTCGATACAAGAGATTCCTGAGTGTGAAACAAAAATTTCTTAATAATGTGTCACATTTAATAAGCAATTAATAAAACCTGAAATGTTAGTGCTTATGGTTCATTCACTGAACTTCTCTCAGACTGGTTCTTCCTATATTGCCCAGGCTTGCCTGGAACTTGTTAAGTAGCCCCAGCTGGACTTGAATTTAAGATCCTCTTTCTTGAGTCTCCCATGTGATGGGTCACTAAGAGTCACTGAGATCAAGCATTCTAGCACATTACATCTGATATGTCCTCCTCATTCTCATGTCATGAGCATCATAGTTAACAGTAGTCTCACACCACTTGTCAAAAATTTGAGCAAAAAATGTCTATATGCTCCACTGAAGATTGAGATTAACTGGGCTAATTTTTAGCTAGCTGTGTTTTCTTTAGCTTAATTCTTAACAGAATGAACAACAGGCCATTAATGAGTAGAGGACTGATGGGGGGTAAGTTTGCTACACTTCTACCTCATTATAAATATTGTAATTTTGTGAATAGCTATCAATATAAGGACAAAACAAATGGAAAGGAAAACACTAAAATATATACTTCAGACCACAAATATTCTATATATTTCATTTCTGTCTAAGAAACCAACTCCTCACTCCCTTGCATTATAGAGATTACTAGCTCTTCAATGTCTCTCATTAGGGTCTGGCAGGCTTTCTGCAACTTATTGTATTTCAAGCTAAATGCGGGTTTCTTGGTAATAGAATTTACAGTACAGTGGAAGGCAAAATGGCACTTATGCTTCCTAGATAATCTCAAATAGCAGGGCTCTGGATTCATGACTACTCTAAGTAACACAGTGTCAACTAAAACCATCAAGTGTTGCTATTGCTCACTACAAAAACAGGTCTATATTCAATAGAAGATTCTGACTTTGCCTACTGGGCTTGCTGAACGCCATCTGCTGGTTGTTTAAACACAGTGTAAGTTAGATTCTTTTTAAAGTCTTCATTGCCACTTTGCTTAAAGTATTTGAAAAAGTAACTTTTGACTACTTCCACAAAATGTAATTTAGTCAAGAAAATATAAGATAGGATATTAACCCAGCTCCTGTGATTATGATATTTGATGGAGTTTACTGAATTACAATGACAATGTTGGCTTTAGATTATTTATGAATCCCTCATTCCTGAATACCAATCATTGGTGTTAAAAAATAGTTTTTTTTACATTAGAATAACTGAAAATTTTGACACTTTTTTGTATACACAATTAGAACTGCAAAAAAGCAAGAAGGATTCTGAAAGTTTTCACCATAAAGAAATGACAAATGTTCAGGAGATTATGTTTAACCTGATTTACACATTATACAACACAAACACATATTGAAACATTACATGGTATTCTGTTAATGTGCAGTATTTATGCCTGTTTTTAAAAAAGGAACATATATTGTCTTCCTGCCTATTCAATTGACCAGCATGACAAGTAGAATAGTTTTCTTTTTTCAATATGTATGTGTATGTGTGTGTGTATATATATATATACATATACATATATATATACACCTTTCAGTCTTAAACATACTTCAACTCTTGATGAGCCAACAGATCATACTTAAGTTTTACAGTTTCCATTTTGCAAAATTCTACCACTTTCCTCATCCCACCATTTAAAGTCAGCTTGACCTACATCCAAGTCAAGAGATCTGTACCCACAGAGTACAATGAAGATTAAAACAGATACATAGATTAAGTATTGTATGGTTTTTGTCATTTTCCTGACTTTTACTATGAATTCAATGATAAAAAACAAATATACTGAAAGTGTCACAAATCGTGTATGGGAGTGTCACTAACTGTAGGCAGTCAAAGGTGAGTAATTAATTAGTAACTACTGAGAAGTGACATTCAGCCTACTAGAAGGCTGTGGCTTATCAGAAAGGCTGTAGTGGTTAGGGAGTTTTCTGAGTATTCTTCCATTCACCTTCCACTGACTTTACATCTTGGCTGCTATTTGATGTTGGGACTGGTGGCAGGAAGGGAATGGGAATATGTAGATAGCCATATTATTTTAGATTAAAGGTCCAGTTGATTCGGCCCTTAGTGCTACAGCAGTCAATTTATATGCCCCCCTGCTCTGAATCCATAAAAGGCTAATTTCTACCCATCATTTTGAGATTTTTATTTTACTGTCGACCTTCGTTTCTGAGATGATCTATTGAGAAGAAGACACTGTAGCTATGGGGTAGTAACACCTTCAACTTCCTGTTTCTACTTCATAATAAAGATCTATCCAGGCCCTGTGCTGGTGGCTCATGCATGTAATCCTAATTACTTGGGAGGCAGAGATCAGGAGGATCCAAGTTCAAAGCCAGCCTGGCAAATAACTTGAAAAACTCAACACAAAAAAGGGCTGGCAGAGTGGCTCAAGTGGTGAGTGCCTGCCTAGTGACCACAAGACCCTGAGTAACCCACCAACCCCCTCCACAAATACGAATAATCCACTTTTGTTCCATTTTCCATGGAGACTGCTCTGACTAGAAATATCAGCCTCAGGCTGGTGAAGTGGCTCAGTTGGTACAGCATCTGCCTACCAAGGGTGAGGCCTAGTTCAAACCCCAGTAATGCAAATAAAATAAAAAAGATCAGTCTCAGTCAACTTTCAATTGCTGTGACAAAATACCTAAGATAAATTAAAAGGATGAAAGAGTAGCTTGGCCCTACTGCTTTAAGCCTGTGGCAGCACAGTACATCATGTCTGTTCACCTTACAATGGTCAAGAAGTTAAAAGACAGGGAAGGGGTCAGGGTCCCAATATATTCTTCAATGATTTAACATCTCCAATACCTAACTTCCCACCACTAGACTCCACCTTCTAAAGGTTCCACCACCTCCCAATAGTGCTACATGATGCTGACCAAGCCTTTAACACATGGGCCACTGAAGGACATTTTAGATCTTAACTATAATAATCACCAACCCTTTCCTGAACTTGATCTCTATGAAGTATGTTGATGCACTCTTGAAACTTTTTAAGTACTTGGGACTCATCTGTTCCTTCTGAGTCTCCTTTAATGACCTCTTGGTTTTACTCAATTTTAAACTCTAGGTAGTGTCCAGTAATCTCTTTTAACAAATATTGTAGATGATCCTGAAGCTGAATTTTGAGAATCACTGTTTCAGTATGCTCCCACTAATCTATGCTGTACACTCCTAACAGTCATCTTGCAAAAATTTGGGCATGTTTCTGCTTTGTTTAGAAGCTTTCAGTGATGTTTCTTACTAGAGGGTGAAACTTAAATTTCCTAGTACAGTATAAAACACTGCCTTACAGTTTTCAGAAAGTAAACTACAGTAAATTATTTTAGTAAGAATGTATCGTCATGAAGTGATTAAAGGGATGAAATGTGTAATCATACTGCTTGGGCTTCAAAAAATCTCTACCTCAATCCTTTACAACTGGTTGTGAGGCCCTGAATGAGTCACTTGATCTCACTGTACCTCAGTTCCATCATGCACAGAAGAACAATGACTTCCATCCACAGCACAAGGTTGTCATGTACTTAAGTGTAGGTTTAGTGACTGTATAGATTCAGAGTTTTTGGCAACTTGACTCATTTTTCAAAACTGTACTTCTCATTTTTCTGTTTTCTTTGAATTAATTCATTTGTGCTTATTTCATCTTTAGTTACAGCAGTGAATATTCATAAAAACTAGTAACTGCCACTCACTGTAACAGAAGGTAGCAGCCACTTGCTTTATTTCTCTACTGTATTCTCAGCGCAGAAACCAGAGAATCTTTTATTTTTGATGGTACTGGGGTTTGAATTTAGGGCCTCATGCTCCCTAGGTAGGTGCTCTACCACTCGTGCCACTCCTCCAGCCAGAAACTAGAGAATCTTGCTTTTTTGTTTCTTTTTAGGTTGGTTCACTCTTACCCTTAAGCTCTATAGTTAGTTAGGTACTCCACTCAGAAAGCTAAGCAGTCTAAAGTTTCCCACCTCTCCCGTTATTCTTTAGGACATCTCCCTTTTCCTTTCAAAGCCCTACTTTTGTGGTGAATGTTGTGATGTGCCACTCTGATCTCACTTAAGAATGACATATTTTCCCAGTTCCGAAGAGTACTAAAATCGGGCTCATCTGTCAGCCCCTTCCCAGGGGTAACTTGGCTGAATGCAACAGGCACAGCCCTTCCCTCCAACTTGGAACAACACTGGAGGACCAACACAGCACCAGGGTTCTCAAAGGGCTGGTAGAAGCATTCCTTGGGATTGCACTGGGAATACAACCTAGGACAATCTGGAAAACTCTTACTCATCAATCTCCATCCATCCATCCATCAACTTAATGCAAAACCTATTATCTATCAATGCAAAACCTGACGATGTTAACGAATTTAACTGACACTTTGAGCCTCTGAAACAGCAACAGGACTTGGGCACGGTCCAATGGAAAAAGAGGATGCACATGATCTCAGGAGTTCTCTTGCACCTCCGACGCATTTGCATCCCCACAGCATTGCAGGGGCCCCGTGGGTCTGGGTTCTGCCCGGTTGCAGGTGGCCTGGCCACGCTGCCCGACGCCTGTGCCCAGGGGACGGGCCCGGTGCAAGGCGCGCCCTCGGAGAAGGGGAGCGACCCGGGCGGCGCGGGGCGCAGTGAAGGACGAAGTGCCCAAGAACGCTGTCACCTCCGTCACGTACAGGTGAGCGATTCCGATTCTACCTTCGACATCGGAACCCCAGCGCCATCCAGGAAATGGAAGAAACTGCCTACAACTACTTTAAAGGGAGGCTCTCCGGCCTCCTTCTGGTCCCCGCCCCTAAATACCCTTCACTGGAGGACACCGGCGACATCCGTGGGTGCGGTGGCTCCCCTCTCCTCAGCCGGCTTCTCCACCCGCTGCACACGCCGCTCTCACCTGCGCACCAGCCGCTACGCCGCCCCGGGCGGCCGCCAACAGACAGCAGGCCCGAGATCGAAGCTCTGGCAGCGCGCTCCGCTGTGGATGCACGCAACCTTCACCCCGCGTGACGCGACGGCGCATGTGCAGTTCTGCGGTAGCGCGGAGCCACTCCTCATCCGCGGTTCTCCGGGATTTACGTGAAGTTCTAGCCAGATAAAGCGGCGGTGAGCTCCGGAAAGAACGGGAGCGGAGACTATTTAATGTCAATTTCTACAAATTTCTAAAAATGAAATTTTAAAATAGCACATCATATTCAGCACATGGAAAAAGCGCAGAACTTCCCTTTTGATTCTCAACGTATTTACAGAATGAGACAGTATTCAATAGTTCTTGACTCGCTGTCCCTGAGTTGACCAATCACAAAGCGCCTATTTCTGTCGCTCAGCGCCAAAGCCCCGCCTCCCCACGGCTGCCTCGAAAACAAGGAAAAATGAATTGGCCTCAATTACCTTTTGGGTCGGGTTGGAGAGCGGACATGCGTGGTGAGAGCTTGTCGCCCTCCAGGAAGCTTCCGCCCTCAGGCATAAGTTTAGAGGATTATGGTTAGGTCGAAAGGTCTCCCGCTGGGTGCCCTTTGCTTGGCAATTTTGTGTTCCGTGTATTCTGGCTTTTGGTTCAAAACTAGAACTTTCAGTTTCCTGGACGACCTAAAAACTTATGGAAGAAGTTATGTTTAAACATGGCTATTTTAATGTTTCTCTAGCATTGTGAAAGTCACCTTTACTTTCCAACCTGTCTTCTATATTCTTTTGTCATCAAAAAACATTTTCCGCTCTTGTGCTATTTTCTGGTATCCATAAAACATCACAGAAATACTGAGTTTTAAGTTCTCTTGATCATAACTACATAACCCTGTGAGTAACCGTGATTCATTAGCTGTCAATCATATTCATGGAGTTACCACCGTCAAAATCGCCTGCCGCTGCGGTCATTTTTATTTTGGTCCCTCCTTGAAAGTCAAGATAGCTTTGGCGGCGGCCATTTTTCTTGTGGGCAGACTCCTCGCGTCATCCGGGTCCCTTTCCTAGTGTTTTGCTACCATCTTAAATCCTGGCTCTGGCTTCACGCCGACGTGAAGCTGCTCGGGTCATCTTGCTTTTGGGCGGTGGCTGCGTTCCAACGCGCGGGGAGTGACCTGGGAAAGGGGAAACAAGGACGCAACCCGAACCCACAAATCTTCTGAAGTTGTCCCTGTACCCTGCAGCTTTTTTAGTTTCCACGGCCAGTTACTGCTACACCAGTGACCCTGGGCAGTCACAAAGCACGTAAAGCCCGACCCAACCCCCGCCACCATCGT